CGTAAAATGCCATCTTGATTGTACATGTAAAGAATAACCCAGTTGGACGACGAAACCGATTCATTCTATGAAATCGTGAAAAACGTGGAGAAAAATGATTTAATTTCTTTGTAAAAATTTTGCTCGTAATTCAAAGATCGATATAAAAGGAGTTAAAATTTAAAAAAAGGGGAATAAATACTATTCTTGTTTGCAATTCGAATCGGTGGTCGCGACATTGAATAAACGGAAATATGAATTTTCGTTTAATTGCAATTACGACGATGTCCCTGGAGACAAGCGAACAACCGATGACTCCTCCTCCCTCGTTAATTGATATTTGCTCTATCTCAACAGATTTCGGGCTTAGCCTCTATTTTTCTTGAATGATCCGTATACCTACTTCCTAATACCACTACTACCGTATAATAATACTACTAATAATAATACCAGCTAGAAACGAAATCTTAATAATTTATATAGAAAATGTACAAGAAAATCTACATTCAACGTACGCGTGTTTATCTTTATATAAATGTGATCGATCCGCGATTTCATAAACGAAGTATGAGTGGAGAATAAATAAATAAAAAGACACAAAAAAAAAGAAATATATATAGAGAAAAGACGAAGGGTGTAACGCGGGTGCGAGAAAGACGGGAAGTCGGAGGGCGGGAAAAGACAGTGCTGATCGAGAACATTGCGAGACCCCCGTTATTTTAAAATCGATGGCACGATCTCGACGAGAGAGAGAGAGAGAGAGAGAGAGGGATGAAATGATCGAAATTTTTCAGGAACAATTCGCGAAACTGAGGATTCTCCGATGCGCTCGATGTAACAGAATTAACTGGGCCATTTAATGGTCCATAGGTTAACTCTACTGTTTGAAGTTCGAAAAAGTTAATAATTAATCCTTTTTAACAATATAAATGTAATAACTAATCATTTTGAAAAATTAAAAAATTAATAATAAGTTTTGTTATTAGTGGGTTTATATATACCACAAAATAACGAAAATCCTTTTTCCTATGCAAACATTGCAATAATAATAAAGATTACTACAAAGATGTACCATTTTATGCATTTTACACGTTTGTTCGATTACAGTTATGTCTGTAACGATAAAGTAAAATACATTCTATAATGTTTATTCAATTTTTCGTTTAAATGGAAATTTTAAAGGACAACATCTACTGTTGCGTCACGTTTTTGTAACTTTTGCTTTGTAGAGTTAACCTATTTGGCCAATGAGTGGCTCAAGTGTCGTAGAAAGTTCTGGCGTGTCTAACATTATGGGTTATCTTGTAACGTGGTATGCCTCTATTGACACTGTAACTTATTCTGAATTAAAAACTAATAAACATTTCGTTATAAAAACTTGTTTGTCCGTACAGTTAAGTTATAACTTCTATGGTAATGGATATGCTCGCGTTCAACACATTTTTTTCGTAATTATTCGAAATTATGAGCGATGTATTAATGAATTCCATGCGCGAATACTTTGACTATTCACTATTATTTCTTCAAATTTACTGTTCAGCTCTAAATAAAGAAAACGATGCTATTCTAGTTATAAAATTGGAAAAATTCCATGAGTTTGTTCTATCGTAATTTTGCTAGAAAAAAGAGTAAACGTTTAATTGATACATCTGATAGAAATTTATACAAATTACATGCCTCGTATCGTTTATTAATATTTTAATTATTTATAGCCTATTTATTTTCTCACGTAAACGTAAATAAATAGAAAATACATATAACGATTCGATTTTTATTTTATACGTCCTAAAGGGACGGAGAAACAAGTTCTTATCGAGTATGTACATTCCTATCATATAGAAATTTTCATTACAAATAACACGTCGTCGATTTTTGTGAAAGCGGTGTTCTCATTTTCCCGTTAGAAGAATTTTACAATTGTATAATAAAATTTGTATAAATACTTCCTTGATTAAAGCTTCGGTTCGAATAGGAAGAATAAAAGCATCGCGAATTGACCAACGATATTCGTTCCATCATGGTTATTAACTCCTTGCCTTATCATTGTTCACTTTTATTACAACTATTTTATCATTAATAATTTATTTTAAACAAAAGAGAAAAATTCTAGGTATCTTCTATATCGATTTTTACTATAAAGTATAACAATTCAAAATAATTGAGTAATATTCACGTTTCTTAACTCCTTGCCCTATGAATTCTTTCACAATTGGGTTTGATAAAGATACTTCATCGTTAATAATTTCTTAGAAAAACAAAAGAATTTGATGCTTATTCTATGTCTACGTTTACACCAAAGATCAACCATTGACAATAGAAAAGTAATGTTCACTACATATTTGAAAAAAGTGAATAACATTTAGATTCATCAAACTCAATTGAAAATTTTCATCGCGAGTCTGACACGATATCATAGGGCAAGGGGTTAAATTCCATTCGAAATTTTCACCGCGAGTCTGACATTATAGTATAAGGCAAGGGGTTAATCGTCGGACTAAGGACATACCAGCAGTAACAAACTATGAAAAATCACGCATTTGTACGAAACGGTAGTTACAACTGATATGTGGTACAACTAATTCTAGGATTTCCTATCCAATACTGCAACATTCGATTGATAGGTTGCTGCAAACGGTTCGGGAATCCGTTGTCATCTAGTTTATTTTCGTAAAACTTCACGCTTTGAAGTTCAGAAAGCGCTGGCTCGACGCAATAGGAAATGTATCAATATTGAAGGAAAATGTTTTGAAAAACAATAAAAAACATTGTTTCAAACTTATTTATAACTATTCTCATTCTTTCCCGAAACTTTTGCAGCAACCCACGTGTCAGTAAATTTATTGGAATATATTCTTATCAATTTTTCATCTTACATTTGAGCAAAAGGGACTAAAAACTGTGAAATTCCGACAAAAAGTGAATAGAAATTCGCCGATTCGCAGCTTTAACTTGAACGTACACGTTTGACGGTCGGCGTAGCGACAGCTTAACGTTTCCTCTTTGAAAATCGAACGACGCTTGAATCAACGTTCCGTGCGAGCGAACGAAACCGTCGTTCCGTTTAGTTCGCATTACGACTGGAGTAAAACGAGAATAAAGATGATAAATTCCTAGGAAGTGGTGTATAATTTATATCGATATAAATTCTACCTCTAATTTAGTACAAGATATTGCATTCTTTTGGCTCGATGAAATGCACGTGGGACGTCTGTCTGGTATTTAATAAACGCGTGTTCCTCGCAGATTCAGAAAAATCGTGGAGTAGAAAATTCGTGTTAGAGTATCGAGTGCGTCTTCCTGTGCAAGCAGCTTTGATTTTTTGTTTCGTAAGTATATGTGATGCGAGTATTCAACAAGATTACCTAGAAAACACAACGATGTGTCTTTAATTTTGTATATGGAATATTTATTCTAAGTATACATACGTCGATTTATACGAAAAAACATTTATCAAACTCGTAGTCGCGCTTACAAAAGTTGCGATTATTAAAATTCTTTCGGTTTCTTGGTAATGCGAGTATGAGAATGCAGTTCTGAAGGTTGACAAATGAATGGAGAAAGCTTATGAAAAGTGGCAATTTCGAAACATCGTACAACTTGAACTGCTAAAATGTTTCGACTGGAAATCTTTAGAAATCACATACACTTTTAATGCAACACTTGTGCGTTATCGTTTATAGAATAACTTATGTTTGGCAGCGTGTTTACCTTTAATTTAGAATACGTTATCGTACAAAACGCTACGCATTATTGTATACAAGTATATACTACATATCGTAACGAATGTCTCATTAATTGCTACTAACAATTTCTAAGCGATTACATGTACTAAACAGCACGTCGGTATTTAGAGTAAAACTGAACACCTGAATTCACATTCAAATCCAATTATTTTCAATTTCGATGTGCTCTGAAAATGACGATTTCATCGAACGTTAATCGAACTACGCGTAATTGCTGAAGTCCAATCGAATTTCTAAATAAGATACCAGCACATTATCCTTGACTGTCAGAAATTTACTTGATAGGTATGACAATCGAATCCAACCGAAACTAAATTGATCCAACAAAGAAACAATCGATATTTCTACGTGGACTCTGAAAAAAACCTTCCACTAGCTGCAATAAATTAATGATCTGGAATATGTATTAATCTCAAAACGCGGTTCGTGTGTCCACCGTTTACTTACGAAAACCATCGAGTGCCCACATGCATTTCACATCGTATGCGTTCAATACTTATCGTTAATCTTAGGACGTCGTTGAGTATTTCGTGCAAAATGTGGATTATGCGAGAGTACATACAGCTATTGCCAGTTTGATAATGAACGTGCACCTTTCTACAAATACGAGAGCAAAGGTTTATCAATTCTATTTTTGTATTTTTCTTCGTCTTGTCCTCTTCCAGCCTTACTTTATACTTCTATCCTTTCTTTCTCTCTCTCCCTCTCTCCCTCTCTCACTCTTTCTCTCTCTCTCTCTCTCTCTCTCTCTCTCTCTCTCTCTCTCT